GACAAGGAACACAGAGATGGAGGCCATCCTCGTAAAGCTTCCTTCCAACAAATAGATAGATTCCTCCAAAACTCCCAGAGAAAAATGTAAAATTAAACCGATGTGCATGCTTGTGTTCATTTTTAAGAGGCTATCAGAGTCATTTCAATTGAACAAAGGCTGTTTCCAGAATCGCCACAAAACCCACATTGACTCTATGGCAGTAAATACAAAATCTAGGCTTTTGACTCTCAAAATCGGCTTTAACTGTGCAATTAGTTTGCTTGCTTAAGATGCTGGGGCACTGCCCATGTCCAAGGAGAATGCCTCTGAGCAGACTGAGGCGCTTTCTTCTTGACGGCTGCACTTTGAGGGGTGAGTCCTGGGACTGGGGCCCGAGTGTGAGCTGAAGATCCTTCACGAATCAGCTGGGGGAGCTCTTGCAAATAGAGTAACTGCTTCTCAAGCAGTTTCTTCATCTAAAAGAAAAAAAATGTGGCTAAGGATCATGCCTGCCCCTGCGAGGTCACACCGTGGTTCTGAATTGATCAGACAGGAGGACGTATGGCCCAGAGCAGGATATCAGCAAACTGGAGACATATTTCTCCCAAAAGCAGTAGGAGAAACAGGCCATGAAAAAATCCAATCAAGGAAAGAGAATAATTGAGTAGAAAAGATATGCTGCTCTTTATACGAAAGTAAACTGGCCCTTTCTCATTCATCTTCGACCAAGTGAACATTTTTGAACAGAGAACATCACCTCCAACAGGCATGAGTGTTTTACTTCCCACTGGTCTCAGGTGATCCTGTAAATTTCTTCCCAAGGCTTCATGAGGTCAGCCTGACAAACATGGGGCATTTTCCCAAGGGGACACCAACCATCCCTCGCTTCAGCTTGGTTCCAGTTGTTAATTATATTATATGGAGCCCAACAGATGTCTCTTCTTACAGCTAAAGTGCATTTTCTCTTCATTCATATATTTTATGCTTTTGATTTACAGTTTCCATATATTTCTTGGCTGCAGTGTGCTCTGCTCAGACCATTCCCTGGGCCCCGAGGAATCGGGCTGGAGCGCCACGGCCCCGCACAGGGAGCCTCTGCAGGATGGAGACCTCGTCCTGCGTGCGTGCTTGCATGTGCTGCTCACGGGAATGCTGGCGAGAGCCAGAGTCATTTTCACTCTGCCACTAATTTGTATTCCTTTGTATCCGTGTCCAGAGTTTCCATCACGAAGGCACAAAGGGACGCCTCGGCCCTGCCCTCCAGCTGCTGCCCAGCCCGGGTGGCACATGCTGGCAGATGCCAGCTGGCCCTGCTGCAGCGCAAGCAGTTCCTTCTCTCTCAACGCGTGATTTACCTCCAAGAGGTATGCCAGGCTCTCAAAGGATAAGAGCTGCCATAACTCAGTTCTTTTTCTCATCTGACTAACGAGGAACAAACTAAATGGCGGCAGTGTAATTATAATCTGCGTTGGTGGGTATGGAGGCTTAGAACATTTAAGTGATTTCATTGGACTGACCTCCATTTCTCCTGCACCTGGAAGCCCCCATTGCCTGACCCACACACGTGTTCCTACTTGCTTTCCTTGTTCGGGCTGGCGAACATCGGCTGCAGGTTCAGTGAGTGGGGAAGAGCTTGGGCTGGGGGCCATGTGGACCCAAGTTGGGGGTGTTGGCTCTGTCTGACCTCCCATTTTGCCATTTGCAGACAGGCTTCTGGAGGTTTTTCTCCATTCCCTTTCCCCACTTCTTCATGATCCTCTGCGAAAGTCACTGATGACCTCTGGGCCCCTAAGTGCATGAGCACTTTTCAGCCCGGCGTCACTGACTTCTCAGCAGAATGAATTCAGGCGAGCCTTCTCTCTGCCCTGCCCTCCTCCTCCAAGCACCTCCTCGCCTGGAGTTCCTGCTCCTCCAAGAGTTCCTCCAGAGTCAAGCCCAGCCCTCCACTCTACCCTCCTCACAACAATCCACAGCATTTAGGGCCCATGGCTTTCAAAGCCACAGATGTCCCAGCCTGGGCTACTCTTCTGAATTTCAGACTCATGGGATCAAATGCTACTCAGCATGTCCCCTTAATCTCAAAACTCAAACGTCCCAAACAGAACTCATAATCTTCCACCAAATGGATTTTCCCCAGTGTTCCCTTCCTCAGCATGACCCACTCAAGCCAGACACTCAGATCAGAATCTGTACCCCTTCCTCTCCTCTACTGACTTCATTCAGGCAAATGAGTCCTGGGCGATCAGCTCGCTGATGGTCTCTGGACCCACTCTCTTCACCGCCCCCCCAGCACTGCCACCCCAGTGGGCCATCACCCCCTATCCTCTACAGGCTGAATGGGCTCCTTCACAGGTGCCATGTTTCATCCCTCCCTCTTTATAACCTTTCTCGAGACATCCTGACTTAGGTATGAAAAAAACAGCATGTAGCATGTCATGCTGCCACATTAAATGGTACCTCCATCCTCCTTAGTCTGATCTTCAGGGTCTGCATGGCTACCCCTGCTGTGTGTCTGGCTCCTCTCCCATCAGTCTCCCTTCCCTAGCTATTTGGTCAGTCAAAAGTCTACACACTACCTCATGCACAGCTTGGGCCATACAGGAGTTCTGTGGGTCACTTTCTTGCTTAGCACCTGCTCACCTGCAGTTTCCTCAGCCTGGAACGATCATGTGTGTGCCTGTGCACACACCTACACAGACACACACACATGCATGCATGCAGGCACATACACACACACCCACACAGACACAAGGTCATCTCTCCCAAACTCTGCTCACCTCTTAGTGCTCAGCTCACAAGTAGCTTCCAGAATGAGGCTTCATGGGCTGACCAGGGCAGACCCAGCAGAGCTTCCTTACTCATGCTCCCTTCACCCCACCTTTGCTCCCTGGGGCTCCTCCCAACCACCATTTCTCAGCTCCTGTTGGTGTCACCTGTGGTGGGACACTGACCCACCCACAGTCTACAACACTTGCTGGGGGGTCCCTGAGGCTGAGAGTGAGGCTGACTTGACATGGCTTTGGGCTCTACACTGACCAGGGCTCCGGAAGGAGCGGTCAGTCTCTTGAGTAGGTGAAGGGATTGATGCTGCTCAACAGCGTGTGGCCATGGGACTGCCAAATGTTCCACAACATGTTCTGGATGTCCTGGAACTGGTAGTGGCTTAAATAGCCAACAGTAAGAAATGATTAAATTATAAAACACTCATAAGACAGGAAAATAACTTACCATTACACATTTTTTCAGAGGATTTTTGGTGACCTAAGAAAATGATCACAACCACATGTTGAGGAAAAAAAGCAAAATAAAGAACTAAATACGCAGAACCTAGAATTTGTTAAATAAATGCAAATATAAAACTCAGTTCGATAAATACATGTCGCTACATATTAATATGACATAAAATAGTACGTCGTGGATACTAGGTGCATAGATATCAAAGGAAAGGACCAGATATTATTCTAATTTTCTTTATGCTTCTCTGTGTCTTTCAAATGTTTTGTAATGATCATATATTATTTTCATGATCAGAAGGAAACACTAAAAATGTAAAGAAAACAAATATGTAAGAAAAGAAAACTCTAGATCACCCTTTTTAATTCCCGAGCACTGGATGCAGCATGTTGTCTTGCTTTGTAACCCCTTTGCTGGCCTCCACACCTCCTCCCACATCCAACCTCCATGCATACCCACACCTGTGCCCCACACACCCACACCTCCATGCACACCCACACCTGTGCCCCACACACCCACACCTCCATGCATACCCACACTCGTACCCCATACACACCCACACCTCCATGCACATGCACACTTGTGTCCCACACACCCACACCTCCATGTACACCCACACTCATACCCCATACACACCCATACCTCCCTGCACACTCACACCTGTGCCCCACACACCCACACCTCCATGCACACCCACACCTGTGGCCCACACACCCACACCTCCATGCACACCCACACCTGTGGCCCACACCCCCATATCTCCATCCACACCCACACATTTTTTTCTTCTAAGAAATTTACCCTAGAGTATAGATAAAATTTTAAATAAAATGTAATCAATATAGTTATTTATAATTTTAAAAGTTAATAAATGAACTGAGAAATAGTTAAATAAATAAGGATTAAAATCTAACAGAAAAGTCTTGTGATTTTGCACCAGAGCTCTGCAAATTCAAAGTTAGAGCCCCTGCCTGGCCCGTTGCAAAGACGTGATGATGACAGACGAAACACAAGAGGGAAAAATAAAAAGACACAGGCAAACACAAAACCAGGTCCGTGTCTCCTTAGCCCCAGAACAGGAATGCTCAGTGGTGAAATGGTTCAGGCTGCAGACCCTGTGCTGGCAGAGCGGGAGCTGCTGGGCTGGTCAGCTAACTATGCTCCATGGGCTGCAGAGGCACCTGCTGGACCCAGGGGCTGGAAGGGGGTCCCCATTTGTGAAAGGGGGCTGGCAAAGCTGCTGCTGATGGGAACCTTCATGGCTGCATCTCCTGTGAAGCTAGGGCCTGAGGAAGAAAAATCGGATCCCAGCCCTGTGCCCAGAACTGAGCCAGGCTCTGGTGGGCACACTGACCTGCTGGGACCCAGGAAGCCGAGTGCAGACTACAGACAAGCTACTGTACTGGGCGGAGAGCAGGGGAGGAACAGAGCACTCTTTTCTCTCTCAGGATCCATAAACACAAAGTTCCAGGAAACACTTGCAGAAACCTAGCGCTGAGAAAAGCAGACAACACAATCGTTAAAGTGGAGATGCATTTGCTCCAGATGAAACGAGAACAACAGAATTACACGAAAAAGACCTTAAAATAAGTGTGTTTAGAATCCTCAATATGCAAAGAAAAAATAATACCTAATTTTAGAAGACAAGAAATTATGAAACAAAAAGGAAAACTTCAAAGGAGACTAAGCAGCCACAAAAAAAAAAGAACCACTTGGAAATCTTGATGACATCACGGACAGAGGGAAGCCCTCCACAGCAACAGAAGAAGCCTGAGCATAATGGGGACAATCGCCAAAGTTCTGAGAGCAAACGTGGGTCAACTGATGGAAAAATAGATATTTTCAGAAAAGCAAAGGCTAAACATTTGCCACTCAAAGCCCCTCACTGAAAGGTCTGCTAGATGTCTGTCTTCAGCAAGAATTAAAGCAAGCTCTGAGAGAAGAGGTGGGCTCAAGAAATATTGATAAAATACTTGGTAAACTTAACTAATTATTGACATTGAGAAATAATACTTAATTACGTGAATTTGGTATGATGAACTCAACCTTGGAAAACCTTACAGAGAAGGTAAGGGAGGGGACAGGAAGTTAGCTGTTGGATCCTTAACATGCTGAAATCCTAGCCTTGTTCAGGAGCCAGATGGAGATATGAAATAACTCCACATTCATGTTCACATAATTTTTAAATAAACTCTAAACAGTTAGTGATAACCACAGAACCAGGAGGGCAATCTGTAACTTCCAAACCAGCAGAGAAAAATACAAAGGATAGAGAAAAAATCTGAAACCCCTCAGAGAAAATAGAAAGGAGAAAACACACAAAGACAAACGTTAAAAAAAAGGACCCAAGAAGTACGACAGTCATAATCCTAAATGTGTCCATTACTGCAAAGAATAGAATAAACTCACATATTAAAATCAGAACATCAGCCAGATTAAAATATAAATACATATATGCTTCTTAAAAGATATACAACAAAAACAGAATGAATCAAAAATATTTTTAGTAAAGAAATGGAAAAATGCATCTCAGGGAAATACCAACTGAAAGAAAATTGTTTAGTGAGATAGAAAATATAAAAATTGAAGGTAAAAAGAGAGACCTTTTGTTATGATAAGATAATCAATAAAGAAGATATTTCAATCAATTTAATTAGAAAACTATGATAAAACACATTTTGAAAACTAAAAGATTCATTAAACAAACCATAGTTTAAGGAGGAAATCACACTGCAGCAATGAAAATTATAAAATATTTGGAATGAGACCCTGGACTCTAGTACGTACAAATATTTGTGGGATGTATCTAAAGCAGTAATTGGAGGCAAATTTATAGTCTTAAATACATTTATTTAGAAGAAAGAAATATTGAAATAAATAAAAAAATAGAATAAAGGAATAGTAACACCAAGAGCAAATGTAACTGAAATAAAGTAAACAGATCTGAAGATGGCTCTTTAAAAAGACTAATTAATTAGAAAAAAACAAGCAGCAGCAACAAAAACTCCAACAAGAATAAACAAGAGGAAAAAACTGCAAAAAATAAAGATATCAAGAACAGAAAGGAGGCTTAAGTACACACACAAAATATTCTGAACAATGCAATGTGAGTAAATTTGAAAAGTTGGATGAAATGCACAACGTTCTAGAAAATGTTTACCAATACATTAAAAAAATATATTTCGTTAGTAAAATGCAGAAAAATCTGAATAAACCTATACCACTAAATAAATTGAATTGTTAGTAAACATCTAATGCTGCAAAAGACACTCTCCTGGATAGTTTTAGAAGCAAAGATAGCCTTACGGCTGAATTTTTCCAAACCTTCGAGAACAGATAATCCCCATTTTATACAGTCATAAGGACTAGAAAACAATCAAACATGAACTCAACTCAGGTTTTTTCCAGGAGTGCAAAATTGGTGATACGTCTATAAATGTATATGCCACATTAACAAATTAGCAGAAAAAAAATACTTTATATGTGATCATTACGGTGGATTCAGAAAAGCACTGAATAAAACCACTACTCATGTTAAGCAAATAACTCTGAACTAACAAGAAGTAGAAGGAAACTTTGACCTAATCAAAAAGATCATCCGCAAATACACAGCAAGCATAATTCTCAATGGCAACTTATTATAAACACTTCCCTTACTATCAGTTATGAGGAAAGGATACCCCAGACCCTGAGCACCGTGCTGGATGCCTTAGTCAATGCAATCCAAATAAACTAGTTTTAAAATGTAAGGAATAATCTAAAGGCTATTATTTGCAGATAGCATTATCTGCTCAAAATGGTAATTCAAAGGAGAAATCAGTGAGTAATAATCGTGAAAATCATTCATAATCTAATAAATGTGAGTCAATACAAAACACTATCTTGTATATCAGATTGGCAAATATTTTAACAGAAGAATCAGTGGTTATAAGTGAACCAGAGATGGTATTCTAGTACTCTCTCAGTAGGCACTTAAATTGGCATGACTTTTCTGGAAAGAAATTGTAAATACATATTTATTTTTATTTCTATATGTCAATGGAGATATAGACTTTCTGAGATAATGGGTATGATATTGACATCTTAATGCCTGGGTGCTGATGTCCTGGCATGTTAGTAAGCACTTAGCAAACACTTGTTCAATGAATAAAAGAAACATGCACAGACTATTCTTATGTTTAGGATACACTTGCTGCTTCTGTTTCAAATACCTTCCCAGTGTGTCACTAATATTTTACGATGTTGTTGACAGTAGTTAATTCTTTCAAGGTCAGGCACCTGGAGAGTGAAGGAGATGGGTTCCAGACCAGGTATGTCTGAGAGCAAAGCCCATGCCCTCATCCAGGACACTTCGTTAGATATAAGGATGTGGGATTGATGTGGCCAGACAGGCAGGCAGGGACCAGGTAGAGCATGAAGTTTCTTAATGCCCTCAGCTATGGAGTTGTGCTCTCTTTAATAACTCTTCCAGGTGAAGGAAAGAGGCAGCAATAGAATCGGCTTGTACCGGTAGGGGAGGGCGCCAGGAAGCCCTTTGAATTTAACAGTTTTACACAGGGGATAACATGATCCCATCCCTGTGTTTAGGGGGAGGGAGGGATGCATAGGTGGAGTATGGAGGATTTTTAAGGCAGGGAAACTATTCTGTATGATGCTGTAATGGTGGATACGATACGTGCCGTTATATATTTGTCCAAACCCGTAGAATGTACAACACCGTGAGGAAACCCTAAGGTAAGCCACGGCCTTTAGTTAATCATAACGTGTCACCACTGGTTCATCCTCTCTAACAAAGGTGCCACATTAACACAAGACGTTACCCATAGGATCTAGGGGGTGGGGCCAGCCTGAGAGAGTGTATGCAAACTCTGTACTTTTTTTCATTTTTCCATAAACCTAAAACTTTTCTTAAAAAACAAAATCTAGTAATAACAATACAAAAGGTCATTCTGGTGATAAAAGAGAGGCTGATGGAGGAGTGGTGGCGGAGGCACTGCAGGCGTCCTCATCTCGGATGCTGGAGGCCCCCAAGCAAGCCTCGACCTCTTGCAGAGGGCCACCGTCCTCCCCGCTTCTGTGGGCTGCACTGGGGACGGGGGCAGGCAGGAGCCAGCAGCTTCTTCCTGGTGCTTTGTCTGGGGAATTATGGTGGGTTGCTGAGACTCAAGGAAGCCCCTGAGAGCTGCCAGCACACGGGAGGGGACTCCTTGCCAGGCTTGGCTCTCAACTAACCTTCCTCACTGTGAGGGCTACCTGGGGAGGCCGGTATATCCGCGTTCTGAATACAAACGCCAGAAGCACAGCTTTGTATGTGACCTACACCCTGGGAGAATGGAACCAAGATGATTTTGATAAGGACCTGCTGCGGCTTTGATGAGAGGGAGCATCCCACAGCATACAAGTGGAGCTGCACCCTAGCTGCTTAAAGAAATGAAAGGGCCTCAGAGTCCCGCAACCTGGGCTGTCTCCTGCTGCCAGATATAAAAACCTCCTTTAACAGGCATCCTCAGTCTTCCAGACATTAGGAAGAACAGGAATACTGAGTTCCAGGAGTTCAGTTTCCCGTTGAGTCTCCTTCTCAGCCAGCTGTGACTCACAAGGTCATAGCAGACCACCTCACAGGACCCGCTGGCCCCGGGTTTCTGCCGCCTCGCTCCAACTCTCCCCAAAGACTACATTGGAAGACTTTCCATTACAGTTGTTTATACTAAAAAAAAAAAAAAAAGCAGAAGTGAGTGGTATTTGTACATTACATGTCATTCATTATTCCAAATGTAATTTTAATCAGTTTGACATGAAAGCATCTTAATATTCTCAATAATGGCAGTGGTAACTTTAAATATTAAAATCTACATTAGGAATTCCCCTGCCTATGTAAAAACTGTAGTATTTGCATTATGGCTTGTGAATTTGACCCAGTCTATACTTTCTGAGTTCAATTTTAGATGATCCTGGCCCTGCTTCCTAAGCCCACAACAAATGCCAGGGAGATTGCTGGTAAACAGGCCCTAAAACATCAAAATTAAATGTTCCTAATTATCAACTTTAAGCAAATCCTCATCATGCAGTGGGGGTGACTGCTCACCACGTGTTTGTGACACCCAGAGAAGGCTTTTAGGACACACAGCATTACCATAATTTTTTCGACTGGGGTTCTCATAGGACATCAGATGAAGTCCCTACCCTTAATTTTAATTGCATAGGCTGCATTCTTAATTAAAAACTGTACAAATGGATTTTATGCCATGCCAAAAGAAATCCAAGTTCATTAGTTATAAAACCTTTTAAAAATTGATGCAAATATGGGAATTCCTTAAAAGTTTGAACTCAAAGTCCTCATTTTATGTTGAGCTGCTTTTAATCTAGAGAATAATGAAGTCAACATAAATTAAGGGGTTTTTTCCTTTTTTTTTCGGTTGCTTTCTGTCTTTCTGATTTTACATGTTTCCTTATAGAATGAGATTAATTTTAAATTCAAATTCTTTGGAGATTTGCAGGGGGGAGTCCTTATTGACCTTTCTCCCTGGGTTTCACAAATGAAAGCGCATAAGTCCTTTAATAATTTCGCTTATTAAGGCACAATTACATCATCTTCAATGACAATAGAAATCAAACCTGCCAACCTCCAGAATTAAGACGAGCCTTCTCTAAATGCACAAGTTCCTTATTCTTGTAAATTCATCATTTTCTAATTTAAATAATTTTACTCCAAAATGTTATCAAAGCCACTCCTGCAGTTTTGTAAGCTTTAAACAGCCAGACTCAAAGGGACTGCACGACCCTTTTCTCCTGTTTTGTGTTTTGCCAAGCAGAGCACCTTGCACATGGAGAACAGTCCATGATGACACGCACTTGTTGAACATGTGGGTGCTGGGTCCCACTGAGCTGATCTCTTACAGACAGAAGAAATTTGGGTGGTTGGGAGTGTGGAAGTTAGTTATGACT